TCCCTTTCAACCCAAACATTCCATGATTCTGTGATCCCACACCCTGGAGTGTGGGCTCACCTTCTCCAGCACAGTCTCCTGCAGAGCCCCAGATCTCCAGCTGGCTCCTGGGGCTGTGCAGCAGCTCTGCCCTGCCCTGGCCTTTGGTTTGGGAGGAGAGGAGGGACCTGTATCCACAGGGATGATGCAGCCTCCAGGCAGTGATTCAGTGGAGTTATCCCAGGCCATGCCAGTGTCAGCTTTGGAATTGATTGAAGGGAAGGAGGCATTTGGGGCAAAAATCTGGAGAGGGAAGAGGATGGCGAGGTCTATTTGTAGGACAGAATAAGAGTCTGTGTTAGCCCCTGGTAATTTGGATTGTTGAGGTCCAGTCAGGGTGACAGTGACGTTGGAGGGCTGCACTCGAGTCTGGATTGAGCCACTCAAGTCATTCCTAAGTATCTTCACTGGTTGCTAAAATCTTTCTCAGAACCCAAAAGCTGATGTCTGTGCACCTAAAATTAGTGTGAAAAAAGCACAATGCTTGTATTTTAAATACCTCAAGTCAAGAACCATCACAGGAGCGATGAGAACGTTTCCTCCCGGCCCTGGGAGCTGCTGTGATATTTTGGGACCTGCCCTGAGGCAGAGACCAGCAGCTCACACACCTCTCAGGCTAAAAATTGTGCCCAAACCTCTCAATAAATGCACAGATCGTTACCATTGGCTTCTGAATGGATTAGCACCCAGATGGTTCAGAATTATATTTGTCCTGAATACATCTTTTCTCCATCTCATGAATAAATCTGTGAATCAGATGCAGTGTTTGCATCCTCGAGAACAAAGTGTGTCCTAGAGCCATTCCAAGAGTTGCATCTTAGATTTTGGGGATGAGGAACAGTCTTCCTGTGTTTCCACTAACAGAAAATGCAGTCATACAGGGCAAAATTGATGAAGAGCTTCATTTAAAAGCTGACTTTCGTTCAGAACTGAAGGTAAAAAAAGGCATCCAGATTCCAGCCGTGTTGGTTTGTTTATTGGTCTCAGCTGGGTTTAAATGGAATGGTTTAGAATAGTTTCTGGGTTCACAAACGAGTCTCTAAATCCCTCTTCATAATTTTTCTAATTACTACAAATATTGGGTTGTAGTCTCCTGGTTTAGTGATCTACAGGTGGCTTGGCAAAGCTTTCTGCCCATTAAATTCAGTGAAAATGGAGCTAAAAGTGATGTGGTATAAACTAGAAAGGGTGGAGGCTGATATGTTAAACAGAATGGGTGGAAAACTCTGATTTTGATAGGTCTAAGGCAAGATTTGAATTTGGTTATGCTGTTTTAGCAGTCTAACTTGTATAACTTGAGATCAGACAAGATTTCAAGCCCGTGATCTGTTTGCTGCTGCACATCTACGTGGCTGCAGTAGCATTTTGGCAAATAAAAATTATTTTGGGGGGGCTTTTCCTCTGCTCTTGCTTGAAACAGGGCAAGCCTGATTTGAACACGGCCCTGCCTGTGAGACAAACAGCCTCCATCTTCAAACAGCCTGTCACAAAGATCACAAACCACCCCAGCAACAAGGTGAAGAGTGACCCCCAGAAAGCTGTGGACCAGCCCAGGCAGGTAAGACTTGCAGCTTCTTCTCCAGAAAACCAAAAAACTCCTGGATTTGCTGCTGGAAGGATCCCAAAATAAACCACTTTCGTTTTGTGATGCTGAGCAAATGCTCCCTGGAGATTCCTGATCTCTGGGATTTCGGAATCTGGAGAAATCTGGCATTTCAGAAGCATTGCCTTGCAGTGCTCCCAGCTTTTAAAAGCAGAGCAAACCCCATTCCCAGTCTGTAGTTACAGGCTGTGTGCACTGGGATTTATAACTCAACTCCAGCCTTTGGTTAGATCACAATTCTGCAGTAGTTAAACCTTAATTTCCTTAATGCCACAAATTTAGTCAGGTGTTGTAATCACTTCAGGGGTCATTTAGGATTAAAATCACTGTCAGATGTTCCAATTGTCTAAGAATTCTGTGTTTGAAATCCATGTTCCTGTACAGGCCACATCCAGTGTGGTGTTTGATGTAGTGCAAGGGATTGTGTATCAGTAGGAGTTAACTCTGCCAGTGTGAGATCATAAATTCACTTGGAATGTCATTATTAATACAAAATCAAAGTGGCTTTCTTATCCAACTGTGTGTTCTCAAATGAGAGAATACACCAAAATTAAGGTAAATCTTTCAGCTTAATTTCATCAGGTGAAAGGATGCAAAAAGAGTGCTTAGGACAAGGAAAGGCCCTGGTAAAATGAGCTGTACCTGTTGGAAGCAATTCTCAGTACAGTTTAACTTCTTGCAGGTCAAGGAGAGTTAAAATCTATTGTTCCAAGAGGGAAAGTGATTTCAACACAAATTAAAAATTCCCTTCCTAAACTGCTGCTTCTCCCATTGAAAACTTTTTTTCTGCAAACTTCAAAACTGCATTTTGAGGACAGTTCACGTGAACCTACTTCAACTAGAACCTTCAGGTGTGAGACAGAGCCTCTCTGAAATGGAGTTGGGTGGTTTGGTTTGATGGCTGTGGAGTTTTTTGTGTTTTTTGAGGAGATTGGCAGAGTTTTACCCTGTTTTCCTAAGGAAGTAGAACCCGTGTGTTCACAGTGTTGTTGCTGTTCCCGTGGTTTTGATAGTTAAGACAGTAAAAGAACACTAAAAATATGACACTGACCTCCAAATTCTGAGCTGGACAGAGATTTGTGTCCCTGCTTTAAATATTCTATCAGGCAGCAGAATGTTTGAACTTCTGCTCACAAACTCCAGGTGTTTCTGCAAAATTTGAAACTAGTGCTGAGGCCCTGGCTTAAAAATCACAGAATCCCAGAAGGGACAAGGGGGTGGGATTTGCTTGGACTGTTTGGGGTGAATCCTTGATTTCTCAAAACCTGGATAAAATTGGGTTTTTTTTAAATATAATTGATCCTCCAGCTGCTCATTGATCACCCTCATGAACCCAGGTGGAGAGTTGAAGGTGTGTCAGGTGCTGTAACTGCCTTTCCACCAAAGCAGATGCTCCTGAGGAGAACCTGTGACTCAAAATCTGGTGAAGGACCAGACCTGGTTGTTCTCATGAGAAACTGCTGGAGAGGAAGAAAACAATACTTTACCTTGGATCCAGTCCTTGCATTCCTTAACTTTCTGTGGGTTATCTGAGACAGCAGGAGAGGAACGGGGTGTAAAAAAGGCTGTCTCACACTAAGGGCTTGTAGATGAAAGCCAGCAAGCCTGGCCTTGCTTCTCCAGCTCAGAACAGGGAAAATACCAGGCCCTGGAAGAAAAGGAAATCTCTCTCAAGGCAGCAGGTTGGGACAGAGGAGTTGGGGGCTGATTGACAGTGAGGATTGTCCTTCCTGGCAGATCCCTTCTGCAGTAAATCCACATGGAATTGTCCACAGCAGAGCTCTTCCCTCCCTGCACAGGGAGCAGGTGCTTTGTGGAGTTGACAGTTCTGTTTCTGTTTGTGCCAAGAACCCCTTTCTTTGATTCCAGCTCTTCTGGGAGAAGAAGTTAAGTGGACTGAACGCCTTTGACATTGCAGAGGAGCTGGTGAAAACAATGGACCTTCCCAAAGGTTTGCAAGGTAATCAGAGCCTGCCCTTCACTCAGGGAGGGCATTTTGGTGCCTGTCAGCAGTGAGCTGCGGGTGTTGTGTGTGCCTGGCAGGGCCATGGTCATTCCTGCTGCAGCAGGAACTGCCAGTGCTCCCTGGGGGTCTTGGTGCCCCTTGGCCTGAGAAAGCACTGAAGCAAAACTTCTTGACATTTTTGGGGTCCATGTTCCAGAAACAGCAGAGTCAGAACTGGCTTGGGTTGGAAAGACCTTAAAGGTCACCCAGTCCCACCCCCTGCCATGGGCAGGGACACCTTCCACTAGCCCAGGTGGCTCCAAGCCCCCTCCAACCTGGCCTTGGACACTTCCAGGGATCCAGGGGAAGCCACACCTTCTCTGGGCAACCTGGGCCAGGACCTCCCCACCCTCACAGCCAACAAATTCCTTCCCAATATCCCACCTAACCCTGCCCTCCTTCAGCTTAAAGCCCTTTGTCCTGTCCCTCCATCCCTTGTCCCAAATCCCTCTCAAGCTCTCCTGGAGCCCCTTTAGGCCCTGCAAGGGGCTCTCAGCTCTCCCTGGAGCCTTCTCTTCCCTAGACTGAACACCCTCATCTCTCTCACATTTCCATTCAAACATCATGGAAACACCTTTCATTCCCAGTCTACCTTTTCTTTATTATTATTGGTTTTGTGTAACAGAATGAGGAAGTGCCCTGGGTGTGAACACCCTTGGAGAGCTGCACAGGAGCTGCTCCAGTGTCCAGGATCTGTGTTGTGTTAGCTCCCAAAACCACAGCGTGTGTTCTGCCATTCCAGTTCCATTCCTGCTGTCCTGCTTTTGCTGCTCCCTGCCCTGTGCACTGTTGGTTATGGCTTTTCCTCCCTCCTGCAGGGGTGGGCCCGGGGTGCACAGATGAGACCCTGCTCTCTGCCATCGCCAGTGCCCTGCACACCAGCACCATGCCCATCACAGGCCAGCTCTCTGCAGCTGTGGAGAAGAACCCTGGGGTTTGGCTCAACACCTCACAGCCTCTCTGCAAAGCCTTCATGGTGACAGATGAAGATATCAGGTATTAACCAGAAACACCACTTGGAACAAAGTCCCTTGGGGTAAAACAGTACTTTTTTTGTCAGTGTCTGATAGAACACTGTGGCTTGGGAATTAATTTGAATGGCTCCTCAGCAGCAGAGGAGACAAAAATGGTCACACAAAGCTGCTCTCATGTGCTCAAAGCCCATTGTTTTTTTATTTTGGCCATGCTCAGTTACTCTGAAGTTTCAGGTTTCCATGTCAAAGTGTCCTTTTGTTGACAGAGGTGTCTGAATTGGGGTGACCCTGATTAGGCATCTCTGAGCAGAGATGGGATTGGAGAAATCCTGAACAGTGCCATTGGGTTCTCTTCACCCTTCCTCTGTGTCAGTAAATAAAATAAATAAAATTTATGTGTTGACCAGATCAAAGTCCTGCCTGCTGTGGTGGCAGGGAACAAGGTACAGTTTATTTAGCTATAGGTTGCTTTAGGTAATGAATTATATTGCTGAATCAGGACTGCTCAAACTCAGCTTTAAGTGCATGGTAGAGAACTGAAAATACCAAACAGTAACCTCCAGGTGTGCTGTTTGCACTCACTAAATGCTTAAAGATAATCCTTGCTTTGACTGCTTGAGAAATCTTTTGAAATTACAGGATAAATTTTTTGTGCTTGATTTGTACCAGAATGACCAGGAAAAACACTGCTTAAAACTTTGATTTCCTGTGGCTGAGCTGAAATAGGAGACCTGTGAGCCACTGATTAGTGATCTCTTCTTTACTGGGACTTTGACAGCAAAGGAGCCATAAAATTTAAGGTTTGGACTCAAAAGGGGAACAAGCAAAAAGAAATTATCAGAAACTTCATTTTTCTCCAGTCTGATTTTTGGAAAACTGGGCAGGGTAGGCTGAGGTTTTCTTGTTTAATATTAGTACTAGGAGTTAAAAAGAAAAAAAAGTCTTTGAGTCAGCTGCTAGATTGGTCAGATTCCAACCAGAATTCAACAGGGCACAGGGCTTGTGGCAGAAAATATTGGGCAGGTTTTTAAAGTGTTTTTCATCTTCCCCATCAATATAATGCCAAGGGTGGTTTTTTTTACAGTGCAGTTCTCAGAGGGCTTTTGCAATCCATGCTTGTCTGTCCAGCCTCGTGTTGGAGGGGTTTGAGGCTCCTTTCCCTGGGAGGCTCCTTTCCCTGGGAGGCTCCTTTCCCTGGGAGGCTCCTTTCCCTGGGAGGCTCCTTTCCCTGGGAGGCTCC